GTGGGAGTGTGAATCGGAGTGCTGTTGTTATGGATCGAATGGTAAAAGTGCGCGCTGCTTGGATGAGATGACACGGGAGCTCCTTGAGCTGCGGTCTGACTCTGAAGTGCCATTCCTAGACAACCACCGTAAGGATGAGAATTATTCATAGACATTTGCTCCTCCATGAGCACCAGCTCCTCCACAATGCTGTCCTGGGTAAGGTCGTCATCGAATGAAAAGAAGTTTTCGTTTGACTGAGGGACTGTATGTTCAAACTCTTTCAGCTCAGACTGCAGAGGTAACTGATTTGAAGACTGTGCTTGTATTTGACCCAAGGAGGAGTCCTGAATCTGGCTCTGTAACTGCTGGTTGTATGCGTCCTGCTGTATACCTTCGCAGTGCACCGGCTCCCATGCCGACTCCTGTAAGTCACCAGAGCCAGAGTGCCCTGCAATAGTCATAACACTGATATCTTGCTGCTGTTCACAATTCACAGATGCAAAGTCAGAGGTTTTGGTGATATGGTGCCATGTATTTGGGTTAAAGCTGCCATCAGATTTTGAATCATTTTCTATAATAAACATGTTTCCTTCCAATTTCACTTTTATATCTGGAGATGATGCTGATGATGCAAGCTGCTGTCCTAAAGTAGAATCACTGGTATTTAAACTGGTGCTCACAGAAAGGTCTGTTCCTAAGTTTGCTGCAGCTGCAGAAGGTACGGGTACTTTCACAGGTACCTTGCTGGGAACTTGAACAAGCGTTGCTGTATTGTCACTGTTAGCTAGCGATCCAACCTTTGGAGACTTCTTAACACTGTTTCCTTTTTGACTCTCCACAGCATTACCAGCTGAAAGCTGCTCCACCAGTGGTTTCTTTACAGGTGGTACCTGGGAATCCTGAAGTGTAGAAGGTTGTCGCTTTCTTGGACTTTTAGTGCATGTTTTGTCTTTCATCGTAGACTCACCAGTAGGAGGTGAACCGATGCTGGTGCTGGACAAATTTTGACTGGCAACCGAGAGCTTTTGAGTGCTTTGATTATTGCCTGCTGAAGAAACTGGTGTGATCTCATTAGACTGGGTTTTATATTTGGTCCCTGCTTCTTCAGCTCCCTGATCACAGCCCTTAACCGGTTTTGCCTCCACAACATCATCAGCCGAAACCTTCAGGGTTGCAACCTCAAAATTAATTAGTTGAGCAGGAGGCAGGTCAGGGGTTGCCTTTATGGATTTAGACACGTCAGAGCTCTCTTGGCCCTGTACTGAGTTCTCATCCAGCAATGCTTCTGGTTCCATTTTGATCTTGACTGCAGGCGCAGCTACAACAGTGCTAGGCTTGGATCCTGGAGACTGAAGTGAAACAACAGATCCATTTTTGATCTGTGGTCCAGTCCTCCCTTCTTCCGCTGCTCCTCCGCCAGCTGCAGGCGTCTGTTTGACGGGCACACTACTGCTGCTCGGGGCAAGAGATATTGCTGTCATTTTTACCACGTTTAAGGAATTCACATGTGGAGCTGGCACAACAGTCTTGATTGGGCTACTGGTAAAGAGCACCGTCGTGGGAGAGCGGATGGTGAGAGCACTGGTATTTGCTGGCTTCGGTAAGATCTGCGGGTAGCGATGCCGGGCAGAGCGGTCACCAACTGGGCTGGCGGGAACGTTCTGGGGAGTCTTTGGTGACTGCTTGACTGATTGCATGTGCTGAGTGACCACCTGAACGTTGAGTGGCAGGACCTTGCTATCAGACGATCCCATAGGACTTGGAGACGTCACCAACTGCCTGGTCCTTGGCACCTGGAGAGAAAGAAAAAGAAAAGGTGCGGCGATGCAGCAAGGAAGTCTCCAACACCCACAGACCACCTCATCCGCAAGCATTTCAAAGGTAAAGGACAACACAGCTCAATACACCAAAGCTAGTGAATGTCAATTTGAAACAAAACAAGCTATTCGACTATATACAAGACAATTTCTATTTGTCTGCCTAAGGATTGGTACACAGATACGTGGCCTCAATTTTTAAGGCATGAGGCACTGGTCTACACACTAGTCTGCTCTTCTGCCAATGAAAGGGTCATTCTCATACAATCCTTCACCACATGGAACAAAAAGACAGACATACAAAGGTTAAAGAGGAGAGGATGTGTTCAAAACACTGCTCATTGTTAAGGTTTCAAAAGCGGGTTAAATACAAACCCACTATCAAGCAGAAAAATCGGCTTACCTATTGAAAATGACAACACAGCTAACATTTTAAAAACAAATAACCTTCCCCCTGCCCCGCCCAGTTCTGTATGGCTGAAAGACAAAGATGTTCCATACTACATTTATGCAAAAATAAAATTGTTGCTGTCACTAAACGCGTCGGGCCAATGAAAGGCAATTTAGATTCCGTATTAGGGGCTCAGCAACACACACAACTGGTGTCAGCTCTCTCATCTGGTTAATCTTCATCTCAAGGGCAATTATTCCCACATATAACCTTCATTATTGCTAGCTGAAATCCCACTGTCAATGACTTCAAAGATGAACTGGGCCTATGCTATGCGATCAGAATTCTGCTGCCTCTGTACCGATCCCGTAACTCATGCGGTATAACACAGTCACTGGGACAGAAAAGCATCACGGGACCCAAGCCTTTGAACTGAAACCGTTTTTCTATCCCACTGACACCACTGCTTAGTTACTGGCAATGTACAACCCTTTCATAAGGCGGTTTCTCTAGAGAATTGCTGGAGAACATTACCGGTATCGGGCTGGGGACAGCTGCCACAACAATGCCAATAGGTGGAGGAGACAGAATTGCAGGACTTCCATTAGATATACTGGTCACGCCGTTGGTTGCAGTGCCTTCCGTTTTCTTTGCTGGAGACTCTCCTGGCAAAGGAGACTGCAGTTTCTGTTCTTGCTGCTTCTTCTGGATCTTACGCTGCAGCTGCTGCTTGGCATCAACAGGAGATGGCAGAGTTTTCACTTGCGGTTGAAAGGAATTACTTTCAGCAGTAGGTATAAAAGCTGAGGGCTGGGGGATCCCTTTTATTCCTGAACACAAAAGAAGAAGAATTAATTATAACCACACATGCTCTGTCAGCTGTAGTGCCACTTCTGCATCTAACCACGCAGAACGCATGGCAGGCATGTCCACAACCATTCTGGGAACACCTCTTCCATGAGGTGCTCCCATCCACTTCATGCTCAAATCTATTCAGTGTTTCAGCTTATTTCCACATTTGTGGCAAAACCTCTATCTGTTAGACAAGCTGGGCATTAGCTGCTAAAATACTATGTACTGGCATCTTGTTTCTAGTAATCCCAAATTGCAACTTCTGTGGCAGCAAAATCTAAAAAACAATGCATTTCATTTAACTGACAGTAGAGGGCAGTGGGTATGTTTTAGATGAACCTTTACAATTGATCATCTGCTGTGTTTTTGTTTTGTTATCAATGTCTAAGGCAGCTTTAAAAATGAAAAATCTTTCCAGAAAGCTGTGGGTCTGTGTCACAGAGGAGCAACTCTGAGCAGATTATACTATCTAATGGCCAAGGCATTAAACACAATGCATACAATATCAGAATGGATCACAACCTGTGTGTGATCAGGGATAATGGTGAAAGAAGGGCCAGAAGAAAAGTGTCCAGGGAAAAAAGAAAGAAAGAAGAAGAAAAGGTGAAAAAACTATGGAAATTAGAATGGGAGAACATTTTTTCTGGAGACAATGTCTCTGCTGATCACAAGCAAGCAAGTGGTGATTCCAGGGAGAACAACAGGGAGTTAGTCTCATCTGTGCAGCTGGCACCAATTTCCCTCAGAAAAATCACATCCCATTTATGACCTTTTGTTTATTAACAGTGACCAACTAACCCTGTTGAACTGCCCCTCTAAAAAGGCTTTAACACCATTTTATTTACACTTTGCACGTTTCACAGTTTTAAAAATAACAATTATAAATTAATCAACACCATTTTAGGGCAAGTATTTGGTTTTAGATACCCAGTACATGCTTAGGAACTGTGGTCTGGGAGCCCACCCTCTCAGCAGAGAGCTTGAACACCACAGCTTGTCTCCACTTTCACAATTCCTTCTTCACAGAGCAGTGAAATGCCCAAATATATTGCAATTACTGGAAAACAAGTCATCTGTGTGGGCTGAATACTGAAGGCAAGTAACATTTATAAGAAACAAACTCAACAACTTTTTCTTTGAGGGTAAAAGTTTGCTTTTTCCTCAGTTAATGCACAGGGACACTAGTTCCTTGCGACAGAGAGGAATGGGTATATTTTATTTGCCGTTCTAGAAAGAACCTCTCCTGAAATGACTATCCAAGCCACAGAGGCATGCACTGGAAATAACTGCCCTTTTCCTTGAAGGAAACCACCTTCTCCTGAAGGAAGTAAGGGGGGGAAGCTACATGAGTTGAAGAGCTGTACCTATTCCTAGCGTTCCTTCCAGCAGCACATCAAGCAGAACCAATGAAGCCAAGCAACGACAGGTAAAAAAGGAGCATACAGGCAGCAAAACCTGCCACTGCCACCCATCAGTTCCAAGTTACAATACAGGAAAGAGAGCTGGAAGGAGAAAGAACGTGATCCAGAAGGGGATCGCCCCAACCTATAGCCCTGGCCACCAGTTTCCATTTGAAATTGCCTGTCTCAAGAGATCTGCCTGCCTTGATCCAAACACATTTTGCTTGACAGGCCTGGGCAGAACTTCCCAGAGGGAAGTCTGGGGGAAATGTTGTGCACCTGCACTTCCCTCCTCATCCTTCATTTTTGTAATTTACTTCATCCACAGCCACAAAAAAAAAACCAACCCACTTTAAATGATTAAGTGACTGATTTTGAGCATGAAAAGGGAAACAAAGAACACAAAAGTAGGTGTACAACCAACCACATCGTATGTAAGCTTTCCCACAGACTGAATAGAACAGGAATTCATCTGATGTAGCAAAATACAAAATAACTCGTCTCTTTACCTTGATCCTTAATGAAGATTTGAAATCAAGTGCTGGAATCTCAGTCACACAGCTGCCCCCAGAGAAGGCTCTCCTGTCCCTCCCAATGCCCCTCAAGCCCTTATTTCTAATGTGATCAATAACAACAGCAGCTGACGTGCCTGTACTACCTGACACTGATCAAACATCTCAGGAAAATTTGCATCTGACATCAGAAATGCCTGTAAGAAAATCTGCTCTTGAGATAAAATTAAGACAGACAATTGTTTCCAAATTAGGGCAAGTTATCAGACAGAAACACAGCTACTCCAGCAGTTTGTCTACAAACCAGCACTGTACCGGCATCAAACCCCTGATCTAGCAAAGTACATAAATTCAGCACAATTACTCACATGCCCTGAAGTGTTTTAAAAGACCAGGGTCATCATCAGAGGAATGGGAGAATCACAAACTAAACCCGAGACCACTGCTTATTTTCAGACCTCTTTACCCAGACTGCCAGCAAGAAAAGTAATTTGCAGCAATGTGGACTAAAATCACGTAAATGCATGCTCAACACTCAGAGTCAGCGTTTAAAGCTTGCCCTGAAGAGAAGTGCTTCCTCAGACCAAGATGTTATTACTCTTTAAAAAAAGATCCCCTATTTCATCCATTCAGCATTAAGTTATCTCATTACCTGCTGGTGCCCCCGCCATTACTGTTAAAGCTGCCATTGACTTGGTACCGATATAGTGACTTTTTACAAGGAAACGAGCCAATTCCAAGACTGTATCAAAAGGCTGGCTCAGCACTTTCTGGGCCCATTCACAAACAAGGCGGCAGGCCGCAGAGACAACTTCCTCATCAGCACTTTGCAGCTGCCCAGCCGGCTCTGCCCCATCCAACTAAAACAAACAAACAAAGGAGGAAAGGTTACTTTAATTATTAAGGGTCATTAAGGCAGGAAAACAAAAATAGAGGGCAAATGATGATCAGAAACACACAAAAAAGTTGAGTAAGTATATTCACAGCTTTTCTTGAAACTGGGAGAATGAGATCACAACATCAGTATCATTCAAAACGAAAGGTCTTAAAATTAATCTACTGGTTGTTTCCAAAGGCATTATATATATATATGGAGCTGACATTTCTGGAAGAAAATCGCAGAGAGAATCCTAATATCTGGATGACCAACAACTGATGCTCCCTGCATCCAGAGTCCTGTCAACTCAGTTACCCAGGATCTGCTTCTTTCACTGGGCTTCCTCTTCCCTAGCATTGCCCTTTTTTAAAAAAAAAATATACAGTAGAAGCAAAACAGAATCAGAGTTGAAAAGATATAGCTTGTGGGTGGCAACACTGTAAAAGTCTGCTTCACCTCCTAAATTAGTTTTTTTACTAGCACTGCAATTCATTCTGAGCTTTACAGAAAAACATTGAACGATTCAGAATACAAGTATCATAAAGAAAAAAATCTTTAAAACTACACAGCTCTTCACTTTGTTTTGAAAACTTCACACAGAAAAACAACATAATAAATGTTAATTTGCAGAAATATATATAAATAAGCAAGTATATATCATACCCCATCTCCAGTTTTATGAAAGTCAAGGTTGGGCAGTGTTGGCATATGCACAAAAGCCTTCTTCCTCAGTCCACTGTAGCAATATGTGAACAAGAATTAAGGTCTAAATCATCTCTGCTTGTTAGTTGGGGGATAGGAGGGAAGGGCAGTAATTCCTCTGATACTCCTCATAAGCTTTATAAGCAAACTCAACAACAGATCTCAGAATCGCTGTCCTTAACACAGTCCCATAGCCAGCCAGAATCAAGAGCCTATAAATGGCTGTGTTTTGGGCACGTCGTTGGGCTTCTCCATCCACGCAAAGGAGCAAGGGATGCTGGGCGTGATGAATTTAATTTGATGACTTAGAAGAACCACTAAACCACGCCAAGTAGTTTCCATTAGCTACTGAGTATTTAAATCATTAACATAAATTTGGACTAAACTCCCTTCCTAAACCAGGCCTAAAACGAGATAGGGAATGCATTTTCAAAAGTTAATCACTATTAAAAAATGTGTTCCCAAATTTTGGTTTTATTTTGAGTTCTTCTTTTTTGCCTCTTTTTGCTAAATTTCTTGACATTTCCTTCTCCTAAGGGACTTCCACAAACTGAAGAAGTCCCCCATGACAAGATAAAGTGACTGATTAGGACATTTCTTCCTAAGATTTCACACAAGTTTTGTGGCTCTCTCCCCACCCATGATAATTCTTCTGTAAAAATACGGACACAAATACCCAGATTTGTTCTTACATTGATCTTATCAAATCAGTGCACAAAAATATACACCTTCCATTACTCTTACTCACTTGTTTATAGGTCTAAAAATCAAATCAGCCTTTTTTCCTCTCCACAGCATTACTCTGGGAGTTCACATACAGTGTCTCTTCTCTGTGACACACAAATCCTTTTCAGGATCACTAATTTTTCACATTCTGTAAATCTCTCTGTATGTCTCTTTCCTAGACCATGGAGTTTGCATTTGCTTGCATTAACCTGGATGGAGCATAATTACAGTAACATAAACATAAGGAGGCTAGGTATTAAGGTAGGGGTGAGATAAGGTCACATTTTAATCATTCTGAATTAGAAACTTAGGAAACAGAAGTGAAAAAGATCCCCTGGGTCAACCTACAATTACATCATATGATTTCTTCCTTAAAACTTCTCTACTCTAGCTCTATCCAGAACATCACTATTAAGTTTTGGACTCTACTGCTAGATAATCCAACACTGTATTTTATGAAACAATTTAACTGACACATAACTTCTCCATTTAGTACTACACGGAAGGTTTTTCCCCTCTATGGAAGACAAATAATTCTGGGCTGCCCGCTAGCATTTAATTCCCTCTGTAAGCGCATGCTTCAAGTGAGACCTTGGCAAAGGCCAGTATTACAGTGAGTCCGTGTCATTACTGATAGTTCTTTTCAGTGGTTTTTAATTAGAGCCTACCAGTACCTTGATGCCTTTTGGCCTTTTAATGCTCTCCCTCCCTTGCTTACTGCAGTGGTTTAGCCTACCCAGCACGTCAGAGCAAGGGACGACCTTGGGGCATGCAGCAGGCATTACATCACTTCAGGATGGTTTATAAGGATTCTCAAGGCAAGGTGTAATTCTCAACTTGGAAAAGACAAAATTCTTGCTGATGAAAAAACTACTGACTTTGAAAATCACTAACAGTTTTCATCAGCAAGAATTTTTTTTTAATGGAACACCTCAGCATGCTAAAGACTACAGACAAACTACAGCTCAGCCTGAGAAAAATTCACATCCTTGTAGCTTTTAGACTCGATTACTGCATTTCTTTCCTAGTAGAGCTTCTTACTCCTACACTGAAGCAGCAGAACCACCAGCGGTACAAGCAGATTCTTTTGCACAGCATTTGCGCCGAATTCTTCACAGTGGCTGCCTATTAACTGATAAACTAATCCGTCCCAAGATCTAACTGCGTATAGTTCTGCCTGTAACAATTATGTCTAGTTACACTATGACAAATCAGTTTTTTAAGCACTTTAAGGTTTGTATTAAGTTACAATTAAATGGGGTAGTGTTTTTGCACGCCCTCTGGGATGGACTGTTTCTCTAACGCAGGGAAGGAGGGAAGGAAGCAGATTCCAACTTCGGGCACAAGGAACAAGACTGCAGTCAAGAGAGACAGACAGTGTTCCCCATCCTAGAAGCTCTTCCTCCGAATTGTCTTTCCTATCTCAGGAGGTCTGCACCATGCAGTGAAGGAAGCAGTCTCCCGCCTCTGACGAGCCTCGGATCATGCCTTCCAAGTCTGAAGTCAGCTTTTGTGATGACTTCCCAGTTCCCTCTTCTCTTTCAAGCAATACTAAGGGTTGAGGAGAGGCAGTTTTATGAAATATCTGTAGCACAGCTTACAGATCTTTGGCTTTACAACTAACTTTTAAATTACTGGTGTGCACGAGTATAATATTAAAAGCAAGAAATGTTCTGGTAATTCTGAGCTGTACTACCAATAAAATATTAGTTACTGCACATATATAAGGTAAGTTCCTTTATTCCAATATCTCCCTTTGCACTAAATGATAAGGCTTCTTTGATTCCTCACTGCTGTGACAACAAAGTGTCAGAACCCAAATTTAAGTACTTGTTTCTGAAGTTATATCTTGCAACCTAACACTACCGCAATTAATAATTTTTAAAGAACGTTGGGAAAGCGTCTGCATTTTTTTATTTAACATTACTTCTACATTTAGCAGGTAGTTAAGCCATAATAACAGATGTTCTCCAGGCAAGTGCAGAAGAAGTTACTGAGAAGCGTTCTAGCAAAGGATATTTTGATTTGCCTCTTGTGCCTAGACGACGGGCCTTCATATTTGGAAAGACATTTTTCATGATCTTTCCAAAGTCAGCAGCACTTAATGGGTGGTAGCCAAGATTGTCACAATAGCTCCTGCAACAAAGAGAAAGAAAGCGTGAATGGAATCAAAGTGAACACGAGAGGCCAGCCTGCATGCTAGACTCCATCAAAGGTTTTCAAAAGAACACACTTATACCCATCCATATTTAGAACCACATTTAACATTAATGAAGCTATCCACAACGAATTGAATACATTAAAAATGTATAAACAGAGCTATTAATACCATAGTTTTTGCCTTGTTCTCTACCGAGTTCAAAGACAAGTCATGTGGAGACATAACAAGTAGTGGCATTATCTAGAGCACAGTTAAGATTTACTCCACAACAAAGTTTGAAGCATATGTTTCAATTCACTTATTTTAGAACATAAGAAAGGCAGAGACATTGTTCTAGCCAGAAGTATAGCTTGAGTGTGGTAAGGCCTGAAGTCCCGCAGGAATATTTGAAAAGCAGTAGGTAAGAGATTTGTCAGTGTCCAGAGAAAGATTCTGCCTACACAACCTCAATTTAACAGAGCTTAACAGAACTGAATTTAATAAAACATACCTTCCCAGGGAACCAGCTTCACCTTTATAGGTGTAACATAAACACGTACTGAGGACCTATTCCTCTTACCACTGTACCACTACTGAACTGAGAGCTGCTTAATTATAGACATAATTCATTAACAGTCCTAAATTAACAGATTTCAACTGCCTCTGCAAATGTAGATCTTCATGCAACTGAGTATACAACCTGATGATATAGGGGAATAACGCAACAAAAGGTAATTATTTTGCTAAGTTTACTTATTCTAGTAAAATGGACGCTGTCATCTGTCTCCAGTTCTCAAAAACAGCAGAAGGAATTGTGTTTCAACATCTATTCAGATGTTATATCTCCTTGAGGCAGAGACCAAGAATCTTTGATTTCGCTGCAAAAGGTGAATGTTCTGGAAAATCACAAGCATGTGAAAGCAGAGGAGAAAATCGGGAACTGCTCTGGAAGGTCTACCTACACAGCAAGTGCTTAAGGCTGCCCAAAAGATATGAATGCCATATTGCCTTTTGTTCAAGAGTCTTGTGGTATTTCACAGATGATAATGTGCTAAGGCCCCAAACATACCGTTAAAGCATGCTCATGCAGATCTCCTACAGTCGCAGAGCCAGCACCCATGAGAAGTCCTACCAGCAATACACAAACACAACCTGGCTCTGAAAAGAAGAGGTGACTGTACACGGTCCTGCGTGGGCATCAACAGGAGAGCAGAAAAACAGTAACTTCATACATCACATTGCCTGCTACTCTAGTCAGGTACATACATATAAACAAGTCTCTGCTAAGAAAGACAGAATCGTAGAATGCTTTGGGATGGACGGGACCTTTAAAGGTCATCCAGACCATCCTCCCTGCAATGGGCAGGGACACCTACAACCAGATCAGGTTGCTCAGAGCCCCATCCAGCCTGGCCTTGAATGTTTCCAAGGATGGGGCATCTACCACCTCTCTGGGCAACCCCTTCCAGTGTTTCACCACCCTCATTGTAAAAAATTGCTTCCTTATATCTAGTCGGAATCTCCCCTCTTTTAGTTTAAAACCATTCCCCCTTGTCCTATCGCTATTGACCCTGCTAAAAAGTCTGTCCCCATCTTATAAGCTCCCTTTAAGTATTGAAAGGCTGCAATAAGGTCTCCCTGCAGCCTTCTCTTCTCCAGGCTTAACAGAAAGAAAGAGAAAGCAGCACTCCTGAAACAGATATTTCATTCCCAGCATCATCTAGTAAAACCAGTAACAATTAGCAATGGCATTTGCATCCAAGTAGGCCAGTCAAAATGTCCTCTCTGAAGACTGTAGCTCTATAGAAAGCAGTATATATTTCTTGAGATACTTCCACTGCATTTATTTTCTCTGTAAAAATACTAGTTATTACAGAGCAAGTATCTGCTGCTTTAACCTTGGCTGTATGTAGGTATCCTCCACTTCGAAAGCACCACCACAAATGTAATGATTTTGACGATCATAAGCAGCAAGTTTTATGCTATTTGGTTCTGACATTTCCCTGCAGAGCTTGTGTGCACCCGCTTCCCCCAGCTACCAGGCCCCTCTGTCCAAGCCAGGAGATGTTGCCTACAACCTGGTATACAGTTAGCCATTAGTTTAGTTTCTGTATGGGACATCAAGAAGGTTTTTATCCAATTTATATACCAACATATTTTATTTCAATGCATGTCAGTCACAGAATCTGGATTCTGGATATGTGCCTTTGAAGTTAATACAAAGGAATACTTCTCCTGCCTCGCTGCACCCTCTTAGGAATTAGACATTGCTTTACGTGTAGTAGATAGATCTCTGTGTGCCTTTTTCTTCCCTTGAATCTTGTCAGGCTCCAATGGATTTTAACTTTACTCTGAAAATTTCTGAAAGGTGGGTCTTTGTCGCTTACTGATGCCGATTATGGGACTTCAAGTCTCAATTAGCATGCAAAGGAGGGCGCTCTCAATTTCTCTGCCACAGTCAGCAGTGTCTTTGACTGAAACTCAACAATGTCAGCAAAAGAAAATAAATAAAATCATCCAGCAAAACAACAGGATTAGGGACCTACCAATCAATCAACTTTAAAGTTAAATTTATTCCCTCTCTAGGAGAAAATAAACAAACAAAAAAGGAAAAAAAAATATCAGTTCAAGTCTAGCACATCTGTTTCAAGACAATTACTTGCTAGCAACAAAACATACAGTTACACGGTCCCCTTGTATCCACACTGGCACCTCCTGCAAGCTTGTTATTTCTGAGCTATTATTATTATCACATAATTTCAGTTTTCAGACAGATCTTCCCATATGGCCCCTCCTCCTCCTGGCTCGGCCGAGAAGCCTCCATGTCCATCTGTGGTCTCTCATTGAGTTGACAACACATACCAGGAGTCTCTTCCCTGAAGCTCCTCTCTCTGCTACTTGCACTCTTGGCACATTGCTGAGCCCAGGAGCTGTTTTGCTTATTTGAAGGGTGGGTGGGAAACAGATGGGGGGAGGGAAGGTCTATGCGGACACAGGAATGACAATGGACACGCAGTTGCTTATGTTCCTTTGTACAGAGCTCCCCTACATGATAAGGAGAAAAGGCTTTTTTTTTTTTTTTTTTTTTTTTTTAAGATCTTCGAATTCAATGTACTCAAGACATAAAATACACTGGGACTGCACCTGAATTAAACCACAGAAAAGATTAACCAAAAAGCCAATGAAGACAGTCAGGCTATGCAGCCCAGCTTACATAGCTTCCTGGGCAGAAAAACCATTCTGAAGGGCAAATGATAAAGAATCTATTGCATGAAATGACACAAAGATCTCAAAGATCTTGGCTTATCCAATCCAGCAAAACAACTGGTCTCTAAAAATGGGTTAGAGTGAAGAACCTTAGGAAGACGTAGGCTCTCATTAAGTTGATGAACAATGCTGGCACAGAAATGAGTCCTAAAAATCAGGTAGGATGGAAAGCAGATGTCTGAAAACCATCAGAGAAATGAAATTGCAGGTCAGACTCCTAAGAGTAGCAGCAGAGGCGGGAAACAACTGCTTTAGATGGAGTTTGATCGGCTTTTAAAAGGAATATAGAGGTAGTTGCTTATGATAGAGGACTGGACTTTACAACAAAACAGGCCCCATCCTGTTCCTATCAGGGAGTTTTATATAAAAGTGATATCAAACACGATTAGCATGTATCTTGTGTCTTTTAACAGACATGGTATTCCTAGACCTACTGCCCTCTTCTGTGCTAGCTTCTGAATATTATTCTTCTAACGTGTTGGTTAACATCCTTAACACTTAGCGCACGTAATCTATGCATCGGGTGGCATCAAGTGGCCCAGCAGCCAGTAAAACAAAGATTAATGATTTACAGACTAAAGGGAAGAGATACGGGCTGACTCAAAAGACCTCCTGACCTATATTAAGCATATCAAGTGAATCTTCAGGGCACCAAGCTTAAATATGAATGACTTACTTTCCTTGCATCACTGTAGTAGAAGCAAGATAAGAGGACTCAAGTGTTTACTGAAGGCTCAACAAATCATTTCATGGGCAAATAGGGATTTTGTCTGCATAAGTACCGCAGGACTGCACTTAAGACTCGAAATCATAATTCTCTAAACTCAGCCAAATCTACACCTGGCTGCCTCCAGAAGGGCGTTTACTAATAGGGAGAAGATAGCCAAGTAAAACTGACTTACAAGAAAACACAGAAAGGCTTTGATGGGAAGCAGCATCTATTCTCTGCAGGCTAGATAACGTGTTAGGCAGCTCCCCATGAGTCCTCATATTTTCCAGACCGTATTCCCCCATAACTCCCAGAGGAAGCTGGCGGAAGAACCGTGTGCCCAACAGAAACACAGCTTCTTACAGCCCAATGTATTCTGTCAGTGCAAGTGGCATCACAGCATCAACAAGAGAGGTGAACTATCTCCCATCTACCTCCTTTCTGAAATTCAGCTGCAAGCTCTCAACCTTCCCAAGTGCTGCTGCCTTATATTATGGCGCATTTTTCATGTATTTTATTCCTTTCAAAAGGGAGATGAATCCATTCACTTTTATCCAGTTAAAGACATGAATTCACAATTAAATAGAAGAGTAAGAAAACAGAAAGAAGAGTCACTATGTTGAACAAGCTCAGCAAGAAGGCTACTGAAACATGGAGGAGCTGGAAACACTATCAACGCTTGCCAATGGTGGACTTGTGTGGAGTGCAAGCTTCCATCTTTTCCTCTTCATAGAAAAAAAACAAAACCAAACACATGAAAGGTGATGCAGAAGCCCAGTAGTTTTGCAAGATTTATTTTGACCAAAATTTACAGCAAGCAGGAATTGAGATGCTGGCACGATGCAGCACTCTTCTGAAGCCTTATAACTTTGATTTATACGTGCAGAGTGCATAAGCTTGCTCACTGCGAGCTCATGCAACATCATCTTTGCACATAGAGGAAAGACATGGTAACTTGTTAATATGGCAGAAGTGAGTTTTGAGAGGTCTTAACACCCCTAGGTAAAGAAAAATGACTTATCAAAACTCTCTTATCTATTTATATGCTTGTTCCCCACCTCCCACTCCAAGACTACTCTTTGGTGTGCAAGAATAACTCATGAAAATATTCAAAGAAACTGAATGTTTTAAAAACAGAACAGATGCTTTCAAAGGAGAACAGATTCCAAACATTTGATATTTTCCTGAATATTTGCTTACCACCCTTATTTTGTTAGGAAAAAAAATACAATACACAAATACTTGATGCAGCTACATACAAAAGCCATCCAAATTTCACACTCCACAATCTGTAGATGATGATTTTTCTGGGCATCTGCAGCTTGGCACAGCATGGAAGCCAAGCAGATTTGTTGCTGAAGCAGGCCATAAATTATTTAATAAGAAATATATTTAAGAATAACGCTTCCATCTCTCTCCCGCACAGCAGCTGCCGCTGTTGCTGTGTCTGCGCGAGCGGCTGCGGGGCGGGGGGGCTCGGGGATTGGCCACCCCGGCACGTCTGTGCCATTGGCTATATTTCCAGGCTGCGTCACCACTCCAGTCAATAGCGAGATTTCAGAAATAGGTGTGTGCATGTTTATCAACCCCAGGCAAGCGAATGCCATCATGTTTCAGCTCAGTCAGAGTAAAAAACTTGACCAGAGCTAAGTAAAAGGAGGTATTCGTAGAAGGCAACCCTGCAATAACAATTACTAAGGGCTGAATCCTGTAGGCACTTAGGAGGTGAAGGGACTCAGCTCGCTGCAAATTACTGTAATCGTTCAGATTATGGAAATATTCATACTAGATCATAAATCTGTTACTCATCTTCAGGCAACTGGGCTGAGGATGATTTCTCCTCCCCGCCCCCCCAGCCCCGTGGGGAATGTTCTGTAAATGAATTCAAATCCAACTTCCGTCAGACAGCTCCCTCTCCCTCGCTTCTAATCACTTTCTCGTTACATGGTAGCTTTGAGACTTGACAACCCAGACTCACAGTGGCCTTGGTTACTGGTTTCATACATATTCAAATATATTGTGCCTCTCTAGAAATCAGGTTTGCTGCAGGAAGGTCCAATATTTATGCATTATTCTGGAAAGAAAGGTATGATGGGCTAGATCTTAGGTGCAAAATAGCTGCATTTCCAGGAGGAACATCCTTGTTAAGGCAGTCATATATGTATGTATATACAAGCAGACCAAAACGTACTGTAAGATAGTAACTGGTGCTTTTTACCTGTGCCGCTCTGTCCACAAAACAAAACCAATATTCATACAGATATTTACTTGTTAAGAAATACTTGTACCTTTCCTTCAGCATATGTAATGTGCAATTTAAACATCACAGTCTTATCTTTAGTGGCAGAAATAATGAATACAGTTTGCCTTACTGTAGCTAGTACGTTCTCAGGTACTTCAGTACATAAGGCCTTGTTCTGCTATATGCCCTTGTACATGTACATCAGTGGAGTACCTGTAGAAGCCAGTGTCACAGAACTATCTACGCTCACTAAAGCCATATGTATGGATCCAGTTTGGGAGCACTCACTTGTATTCATCATAAACCTCCTGCTTGGGAAGGGATGTCTCAGGGTGCTCTTCCAAGGTGTTCCGTATCCATGAGAAGGCGTGCATCTGCTGGGCACGGCTGGACGACATGGAGATCTGATCGCTAGTGAAAGAAGAAGCAGTGCCGATGAAGACTTCGCTCCATAGCTCCTCCTCAGTTACAAGACTTAATAATTCTCTGCCTACACAGGTGGAGAGACACCAGAGACAACGAGGGCCAGTACCTCACACATTTAGCTATTCCTTAAGGCGTGACCAGCAGTTATCTCCCTCTTTCATCTACAATTTAACAGAGACTCCACACTCCAGTTCTTGACTGATATACAGCTGCGAGTAGACAGCGATGGGTGAGAGCTCACCTACTTCCCCTCTTAAGTTTATTGTTCCTTACTGACCACCTCTAAGGTTTTGCCCACTCAGTTTGCCAGCTGCCCTTTGGAAACACCCAACTCTCCCAGCAGTTGCTCAGAGTGCTTCCCGTAGGCACCTGTCTGCCTATAATCATCCTACTGGGAACATAGACTAATTTTGTGATGTTGTGATCTGCCAGTTGGTTTTCTAGACCTTCCTTTAGTCAAACAAATGTTACCAGAAATACCAGTACTTCCTTCTTTCCCCCACCATCACATTTATGTTGCTGTATTATCACTTCCTACATAAAAAGCAAAGGAACGATCACACGTAAGCTGCAAAACACTTTCTCTGATGACTCTTGCATTTTAGGAGGTTTATATTTACAAGCTATTCATGCACTAACGATTCAGAAGTTAAAAAAAAAAAACAAACTTCAGTAAAAGAAGAGTCCTTAACGTTTAATAAAGGCTGCCTCTGCTACCAAACACGTCATGCGAGTGGCTCCTCAGGAGGTAAGTGCCACAGGAAGTAAAGTAACTTTTCAGGACTAGCTGCTCACATTTACACGCTCAACACACATACCTTTTGTCTCCGTTGTTGGGACCCGAAGGCAGCTGAAGGTAGAGGTAGAGTTTCTCTAGGTCTGTAAACTTCTCAACTTCTTGCTAGATAACAAAAGTGTTTTGGTTAAAAATAAAAAGGGTGGGGAGAGGCAGCGGGAGAAAAGGGAAACAATAAGAGTTGAGCTTGACAGCTACAAACTGTCATCTGACAGTGTATTCCTAAATAATACAATTTTAAACAAGACAATATTTACTTATGTGAAAGAATGTGACCGTGAGCTCTCTGGGACTAGAAACGTGATTTTCTATTTTATTTGCACACCATCACACATTAGAAAGCGCTGGTCACCATTACAAAATTCACATGCAACAAAAGCAGAATCTAGAAAAATGTGAATAACAGACCGCTTCTGTAACCAGACGTGTAACATGAAAACTTTATCTTCTCAGAGCACACATGAAGCACCTCTGAAAACGCAGCATTAACAAATAGCTATGCTGTAACAATGCAGGATGCCAGACCTGATCCTGTGATCCACTATATATTAACAGTTAAGCATCACAGACTTCAATGAAGACATTTTAAAATCTATCTATATACATATGTATTTTTTTGTTTCCTTTGGAAATGAGAGTTATTGAACAGGTACTGAAGACAAGTGATTCAGTTAACATGAATCTCAGTGATGCCGGACTCCTCCTCCAGAGGATACCAGCTGAGGATCAGATACACGGAGGAGTTTTACCTGATGTATGTAAACAGTGATTGCTACATTGCTAGCTTTTAGAATCATAGAATCGTTTAGGTTGGAAAAAACCTCTAAGATCATCAAGTCCAACTGTTTTGGTCACCTGAAACCAGCTACACGGACTTAGAAACACTAGGAAAATCAGTTGTGGTAATGTGCTCAGGCCTGCTCGGCAGCAGTGGGAGTAAAGCCATGCAACAATGAGCAAATGGGTTCTCCTTCCGGAAGGTGCTGCAGAAGCAATGCATGAGGTGGTGCACCATCAGTACAGAGTCAAAGACTCCCATGATCCCTTTTTAAGTCAGAATACAGCTTTTGGATTACAGTTAATTCTCTGTTCCTTTACTGGTGTCTTACTGCCAATGTAACCTTTTCCAAAAGGAAGAGAAAAGAGAGCGGGACTGACAGGTAGTGAGACCTGGCTGTTTACTTCAGCAATGAGCAGAATAGAGAGCGGGGAAACTAAAAACCTAAACTTCACTTCAAATCGGGGCTCCCTACCCGCCCCAGTCATGTCCAGATCCACCTCGCTTCAGCTGGCACCAAATTAACAGCAGTACTTGAGAGAGGTGAGCTCCCACTTCCCCTCCGCTGGCTTTGCGCCCAACGCCCAGGTCCCGTCCCTGAGCCCAGGCGCTGGGCGAGGACCGGTGGGACACGCTGCCCGGGGAAGGGCGCTGGGAGAGCACGGGAGCTCGCTAATCCCCGCTGTCTAAACCCACCGCAAAACTGCTCCGCAGAACTGGGCCTCCAGTGATGCGACAGATGCTCTCAGAGCCAAGAGAAACACTTCCAGCAGCAGCCAGGTAACAGACACTGGATTTGTTGCTTTTATAAGCTGCAGCAAACCACAACATTTGGTTTGTTTTTGGTTTTTTTTTTCCTCTGACAAACTCCTGAAATTTGCTGACACCAATTTCTGTGTGGCTCTACAGCAGCTTACACAGCAGTGGTGCTCAGACCACCAAATATCCAGAGAGGTATTTCTTAATGGGTGCATTTTGTCAAATTCTCTGTTCTTCCTTTCCTGCATAAATCACACCATGTGGACTGGTGGGTTTTCCTTTAACAAACCCATTATTGAAAAGATCAACATTCTTCCAAGAAAGAGTTTACAGAAAATTAATCATTCATTTATGAAAAGATAGAAATTTAACAACAGCAAGAAAATTTGCACTTGTTTATTAGACTTCCTTTTCTTCAAGGAACTTAGCTGCTTTTTGTTTTAAACAGCAAATGCCAAAGCAGCACACTGAAGGACATGGTTCGGGTGAGATTACCTTGCATGGTAGACACTAAGCCATGTGACAAAAGCATCCCAGGCAAAACAAAACAAAAAAACTCCCAATGACTCTAACACTGAGGTGGAAGACAACCTTTCACTTCCAAATCTAATGTGCCAGGGTGCAACATAAAAGGCAGGGTTTTAGAAGAAACAGTAAACCTTCATCAAAAAGTACTGAAGTAGTCTCAGTGCCCGCTGCAGTTGAAGCAACTTCTGCTGTGTCCTGGCAGAAGGAAGGGGCTGTGTGGAAGGGCCCTGCCTGAGCCGTGGAGGCTCTGCTACACAGGCCCCATCCGTCAAGCCCCTTAATTAAAAAACAAGAAAACAACAACAAAAAAACCCAAAACCCAACCCCAACGATACATGTGTAGAGAAAAAATTTGACTGGGATTATGTTAGCAGAGCCTTTTCCAAAGGATGCAAGCAAACTAGAGACTCTCTCGTCAGCAAGCCTGCATCCCTAGAGCTGAGGCAGCTGAGGATTATAGCTTTCTCACATCCTCAGCAGAAGCAGCCGGACAGTGATGTTATCTCCCTGTTTTCACCCAAACCCCACTCCTCTCCATGCCTGGCCCCAGGCAGCACTTTCTGCACAACTCCTCCAGCTTCCAGCGATGGCTGCGGGGAAGCCCTGGGCAGGCAGGACCTCTTCCAAACAGGAAAGTTAACAGGCAGCCAGGAGTCCCAGGCAGTTCACAGAGGTAATCCTACCTGGATGACAATTAGATAAACCCAAGCTTATTAGATGAGACTGAATCTATTTAGAGAAAATCATCTTAAAACTGAAGAAGTGGCAGGAAAGGGATGGAGTGTGGCAGTCAGTGCAAGAAGATTCAGGAAACATCGTGTTTTGTTTAGTTTAAAAATTTGTTGAACTTTATGTTTTGTTTAGGGTGTTTTCTCTAAACATTTCTAAAACTCTCAAACCTTTGTTTACAACCACGGTAAGTACAATCTCTTCTTCCACCTCAGCTGACATCCACCAGTTCTCAGAGCTAAAGGTCTGGTGAATTCAGTAATAACTCTGTTACTGCAACTGTTCCAAGTATCAAAACTTTCAGATTTCTTAATGCAATCAGAAAATTTGGGGAAGCGGAGGAACATTTCAGCTGGCCTACTGACTACTGACCAAGAAGAAAAAGATGCATTTATACCAAGTTTTTCTTTGTGCTAAGTTGGATGCGTATGGAAATGAGTAAAAATAAACAAGAACACAAAATATACTATAAATTTTCTCCACCACCACCCCCCAAATAGGTCAATAGTGTGGAAAAAAAATAGGTCAATAGAGTGGAAAAGAGTCACAGCATCAAAAGGAAGACTGCGATGCTGGCATCATCTTGGACAAATTCCCCTTTGCATAGCCCGTTAAAGCTTATGCTACAGCAGTTTTAAAACCCATACAGAATGTAAAATGTCTGGGCAATCTTTTTCTGCTACTTAAAAGGTTCCAAGTAAAAATTTTGCTTGAAGTTTCCTGACCTTGATTGATGGGTTCTACCAAATCAGATGAAGACTGTCTGATTCTCTGAAGGCTATTTATAAGCCATATTTCTTGAAGCTCTATTAGAAAAAAACGCATAAGCATGCTTGCAGGACTGAGGTGTAAAACCATCACAAAGCACCACCTCTGTTACTCTTGGTTTTCACACACTGTATTTATCTCCTGTAATTAGAACCACATTAAATAAAGAAAGATTCAGTGAAGATGGGGAGCAAGCAGTGTTCATACTTATTTTCACAACATGGCTTCAACTACTCAAAATATCTGAGTGAACTTGTATTCTGAGACAGAAGAACTAAGGACAAAGAATTAGAAACCTCCAGTCACAGCTAAGCAAAGACTTTTAGTAACAAAAAGGAGTAGAAATCTCTCATATTTTTGTTTTGACAGTTACCAAATATAGATAGTTCACTAAAGAAATGCACAAAACATGTAGCAAACAAATTAAACCAGAGATCCGTTTATATTTGCATCATCAGTGGCCACATAGATCTGCTCCAAATGAATCTGTCCTTTTGCTGCCTAAGACAGACACAGAACAAGGATCTCTTAGGAAGAGAAGCAACTTCCTTTCTCATTCTAACAGGCATTTTGATTGAGCAAATAAACAGCTGTGAAATAAACCAGGATGGCCAAAATGTTTCGTTTGGTTGGGTTTTTTTGTTTTGGTTTGGTTTTTTTAAATGAAAATAGCAGGTTTTGGCATCTGGTTCCATTCTGAGAGACACTAGCTAGACACTGAAACTTTTCACAGCACAAGAGACAAAGATCAGTTCAACACAGAATGTGGTTAAGGACTTAATCTGTGTTACAAGAAACATGAGTTTATTCATGGTCCTGCTTGAACCAGAGAGCCTAGAGATTTGAACACGAGTCTCCAGAATCACAGAATATCATTTAAGGTTTCCTGACCTTGGTGGATTGATTCTCTCTATCTGGTTTTCTCTGACTGCTGATCTACTGTCAGACCACAAATGTTAGTGAAGTTCCATCCAAAAGTTGTCAAAAGGGGTTACCAGGGAAAAACTTCAGGAAACGTGCTTTTTCTGGATTGTTTTGAAGAAGAAAATATTTAGTCAGGCCAAACTTTAAATAAGGCAGAGGAAGACTATACTAAGGAACAATTAGCAGAGTTACATCTTCTCTAATGAACACAGTGAAAAACGGCATTAAAATTCAAACTATTTCCTATTTCCACAATGAAGGCAGAATTACAGGTTATTTCTGTCCTCGAGTTCTGGTGAAGAGGAGCTGAAGGCCAGGGGCATTGCTGCAAGCTTTTTGCAAGACTACTATTTTAGAGAGCACGGATGGATCTTAATATTTCTTTCCACATTTTGAGTATTTATAGATAACTATACTCTAATTGAAGTAAAAAAGGCTATGCCAGTGGCAATGTTAACTTGCACCTACTGGCAGACTGGTTCTAAAACTTGTCATACTTCAGCAGAACAAACATCTATTATTTAACAACCAGACTAAGAATAGCAAAGTAGTCAAGCAATCATCTCCCCACTTTGTGAATAGAGAAACAAGAAGCAAAGGTTAAATAATTTGCTCAAGGTCAGATGGTCTGTTGGAAATACAATCAAGACAGAAAATAGCTAATACTTGAAACAGAACCTATTATTCTAAAAAGCTGCTAATAAATACATTTGATATGCTTTATCTGAACAGAAGCATATTTCAGGTGCTAAATATTCCAAACAAGCCCTAAAAACACACGGCAGCATTGTACTGACAGTGTCCAAGCACAGCTGCCAAAGCTTCATAGAGCTTCTGCCTGTCTCCTGTAGGGCCAAAAAGTGACAAGCTACCACCTTCTCCACAGCAGGACCGAGACACATCGCTTCCACGGATCCTACACACAGCTGCTGCCCACACTGTAACTGCTCCAGCCCTCAGCAGCTTTGGTTTTCATGGCCATCGATCCAGCACTCTCTCACCAGCACTGACCTCTTCTCAGAGGACTAAGGAAAGAAACCTTTACCTTCTTGCTGAGCGATTATATGGAGCATACCATTTTAAACATCAGGTTCAAGAGTTCACTTAGTACGTGGCAAAAATATAACAAGTGAAGTCATAAGAGAATCTACTGCTAGACATGTTTACTACAGTTAAAAAGATGTTATAATGAATTTTTAATGGATGTTTACAACACAATTCTTGCTAATTATCTTTTTTGGATTGCACAGCATACAATGATTTTCTTATGATCTTCCAGAAACTGACAGTATGTCAGAATATAAGTGGTGCGATATAACAAGTAAAAGGCAGATAACTTTGGTCTCTTGTACGAGTAATTGCAGTCCTAGTGCCCTTATACTAGCCGTTTTCTGTAGTCCTCTGCTGCTAGCTACCTCCACAACAAAGACCATTGCCATCACCTCTGTTTCTTCTTCCTATTTCCCTCTTTCTTGCTAGCCTGTGTTGAACGAGGCAGTCTAATTGCTAAAGAGCATTTGTGTGTGGCTCTGCGCACTGCGGCTGTGACTGGTGCTACCAAACACAAATGGCAACAGGCATAGCCTGATTTTTCTCTACTGGTGTTTTTTCTTTTAAGATTGCTAGCAAACTGATCAAGTTTAAATGCTTTAAGGTATCATCAGCACCTCCCAATATAACTGAAAGCTAGTCGCGAATCTCCTCCTTACAGTAAGAAAGGAGACAAGGGACAGACACTGTCCCTTTATGCTTCATGCGACTGATTCAAAGGGCCTGAAAAGGTTTCTCTCTGAACCAAACATGTAAGAACATGCACTTAAAGGAAATGTTCTGACCTGCCCATAAGCTTAGAGTCAGACTCTCTGCAGGCAGCTAATACCCCAGTCACAGGACCGCTCTGACAAACCCATCCATACACATTCCACCAAAGAGGCAACCTGCTCATCTGCCTTCTGCAGGAGAAAACTGGACAGGCCTGCAAGGAAGCTCCAAACAAGTTATTTAGAGCTATATAGTCACGGCCTTTTAGTGTAACATACCGTCTTGCAGCTCACAGCTTTCCAAAAGCATGTAAAAATGCAGAAAACATTTTGCTTAACTTTTATTTCCTGAAACTATTTTTATCTTGGATTTTTCTTTTTTAAACTACCTGAACACCATTAGATCTACCTTTGCTAACCTAGAGTGGCCTTTCCACTGTTGACAGGACTCCTCTGAACTCATCAGCAGGACAGACAAGGAGGCATCTGGAACAGAAAATTAGACTATCAGGACACTGCTGCTCTGTTCCAAGTCAAGCTATGGAGACTGCTTTGCATCCAAGAGCACTGTTCAGAAAAATAGCTTGTCCATCCAATGGATGAGACCTACACAAATGAATGGGCTCATACAAACTGACAATCCCTACCTCAGTACCCTAGGTCCACAAACCTGCAGAATTTAATGCAAGAATAGTCCTAGTGTAATTCTATTTTCTTAAAATGGATTTCCAAGAAGCAGACAACTGGTTAACCTCCTACTTATTTACTCCCTCCCCGATGCTACTTAGAAACACTTAACCCACTTCCCATTTTTCACCACAGAAATGTCTGGTGTTAAAAGTTTTACAAGTGCAATTTTGCCCTTTTGCCACTGAAGACTCACATACAAAAAAATTAAGATCTTAAGACACCTGCTTTGTGTCCACAAATATCAACTAGGAATAAAGTGGACAAAAATGACACTTTGCATCGCTATTTAAGTTGGATGCATCCAAGAATTTTTAAGCATAGGCAAAATTGGGTCCAAAGTTTGTTTGCAATACAACAATACAGCTTACTTTAAACCTCTTACCACAATAAATTTAGACAACATTTTAAGGAAAGATATTTCAGTGCCATCTGAATTAGCCTTTGATAATTTGACTTTAAGGAGTATTCTTATTTAGCTCAGCCATACAGCTGAACAGATTCTATTTGATAGTATCCAGATGGTTGTCTATGTCATCTTTTTATCTTACCCCCTGGTACTTCTGGATGAAATGCTGAGGGTAGAAAGTCAGAATAAGCAGTCCCTTCCAGTCCTAAGATTTATGAACTCAGACTCTGATTTAAAGAAACTTGCAACCTGCTCGCTATTAAAAACAAACAAATAAAACCTCTTTCTGAGTTAGTGCTACGTATTTGCTTCCCAGAAATAATCTCGTATCACTGTCTAGATCCTGTTATTTTAATGCACAAAGGAAGATGACGTTTATGCATTTCAAGGGCTTTCCTTCTTCAAAAAATGACATTATCTCTCTGTCCTAAGTAGTACAGCGGAGCTAACAGGACCTGTAGCGTTGCACATTTCTGGGAAGGTATCTAAGATGGTGTGCAACTTCTAAAGTTAGCAAGATTTAATAAAACAAACCAAAAAAATCTAATAATTATGACACCTGCAAGATTTTCAGACCAGAACATTAGTCTGCCATGTTTTATGCAAACATGCAGTTCAATCAAGTTCCTCCTTAAAATGTAGTACCACCCACAAATTAACTGTTTCAAGGAAACAACAACAAAAGCAATAATCATTGTCATTAAAGGCCTAAAGAGCAATGGAATTTGAAGGCACAGTTAGCTTCTTGCATACTCTGGTCTGTGCCATACATAACCTTGCATTTAATAAAATCATGTTTACAAAAGCAGTAAGTCACCTTTCTGTGCTGTATCTATACTGACAGTTCTACAACTGGCAATCATAGCCACTTGCTGCTGGCAATGAGAGGTCAATACTTCCGCGGAAAACAAATGCTAAACCCACATCATGTATTTTTTTGGCAATGAGAACTAATTTTGATCACGTTTAGTGGTAGTACCTTAAAGCACTGCTAAGGAAAGGCGTCATAATAGCTGTCAGTCTCCAGAGCCATCTATTTCGGTCTTGCAGTTTATTAAATATTAAAAAGCATTCTGGAGTTGTACTTACCAAAATGCAGTCCACTTTAGATTGTACAGTTTTGCTAGACGTGAGGGAAGAAAGAGAGAATAGAAACCTTGAATTAATCTAAATAGCAATGACAAAAATATTACATATTAAAATTTCTATCACTGTACTACAGGCTTAATCTCCTGCTATGAAATATCCTGCTACTCTATGGAAGAATACTCATCCAGCTATTTTTTTGTAGAAAGTCACCCCAAATTTAACTGTTTGTTAGAATTCTTGCAGTTTTGCTCTTTTATATAAAAACTGTATTTTTTTTTTTAATGAAATATCATTGCAACTGGGAGCTATTACCCCAAGTTGCAAAATAGCCAGGACGGATGTCACTACTTTTATTGTAAGCTCTTCCACAATTCAGATGCATTTTACTTGTTCATCTGTAAACACAATTAACACTCCCCTCTCCCCACGCTTCAGGAAATCCCACTACTTCAAGGCGTTTATTTCTAGGTTTCCAAAGAGCTGCTACGAAGCAGACAATTGGCACCCCACTGGCAACTGAGGAGTTTTCCATGTTAGTCTCGCTACCTCCCAGTTGGCTTATTAAGACGACATTGGGTGGGGACTGAATTAAAGTATGCTGTAAATGACCTCAGTACATGTGCCAAGGAGTGCAAACAGTATGGAACTTATTATACTTCATATAAACACACCCATAAGCAGCTTTTGTGTTTCTTAAGGGTGCTGTATTTCGCGTGCTTGGTGTGACTGCAGTAGTTGAAGGCATTTTATCATTACTCTGAAGAGGAGCAGGAGTTTTAACATGCAAAAACCAATAGTCTTTACTGCTGGACACCTACTGAACAACCACTGAACAACCGTTTTCGGAGTTCAGGGAGCTATTCTTTTCCTAGTAGAATAAAACATAATTCAGTCTCCTGTTAACACAACAAAACATCTCGTTTCCAGTTATTTTACTTTTGTACAGGTGCTACCACATACAAAAAAAAACCAAGTAAGGTATCTGATGGATATACTAAAATGATAAGTAAGAAACAAGCAAAACAAACGGCTCTAGTGTCTGGTGGTGATAGGAACCAAAGCTACTGAACAAGCATCTACTGTTGCATCAGATCCTCAAAGAGCATCTTGTAACGTTACAACACCTCGTTTTGAAACCAGACGGTCTAAAAATCTGTTCTGCAGGAGCTGCTAATACTGATGCCCCTTCCCATACAAGAACTGCATACACTCTAGTGACAGAATACAATAAAAAATTTCAACAGGTAAAAATATATGACAAGTCCACTGAAATAGATACATCAGCAGACATCCACTTCAGCTGACTTTGTGTAGAAGACGACAATCAGATGGGTGGACACTCGGGAACACCAAGGTGGGAGTAAAGCAGAGCCGTTGGGGATTTGTGAGAACAGGGAATGCTAAGGATGGTAAAATGGCAGCTTTTCCTTGCCTTAGGGAAGACACTCGCATCTACCGTAGCAACTTCAGAAGGGAACTCAAATGTCATCTCACTCTTCAAAAAACCACCGTCTTACTAGAAAAGTCAAAGGACACCAAGCATGGAAACCTGCTGCTGCTGCTAAGAGTTATCATCGCGTCTGACCCAAAGCTGACCAAAGTCATGCTGAAACAAGACAGCTGCTCCAGCAGCACTTCTTTCACCCTGGACTCCACCTCGCCCCACTGCCTCCTGCCCCTAGCAGGGTCCCACAATCCCTGTGCTGCTACAGATCCACAGCCTCTCCTGCAAAGCCCCGCTCATGGCAGCGGGCAACAGGGCTCAGGCATATATGCCCATTTTTGTACCTAAACCTTTTCTATGGCTTCACATAATAGCTTAATGCAGAAAAAGAGCATGGAGGATAAGGGGATACAGGGTACGGGCAGATCAAACTTAGTCCAAATACAGCCTCTACTCTACAGACTTGCAGACGACATCGTGTGCTAGGCTTTTCAGAAGAACGTGCTTCAGCCAGCACGGTTTCCCGTCCTGCTACGTTCTGCCAAACTGTGCATAAGCACGCCCGCTTACATTAATATTTTTTTCTTGCAAAGAAAAAGAGGCAAGTTGCCAGGAGGCAGCTGGGCAGGAGATCCCTAGAGCTGTCCTTTTATCTCCAAATATCAGTCTGAGACAGTAAATGTAAACTCTCTAATTTAGTTCAGGCTTTTCTAGTTGTGACCTCTGCTCCCACAGCACCGATCAACAGTGTCAAGAAGCTGCAGCAGAAGAGCAATAATAAGGCCAACAAATACACTTTCTCTATGTTTCCTTTTCATCAACTGGTGGCACAAAAAGGATAGTCAAGTTCATGTCCTCCAATCTGCAAGCAGATTTTGTGACGTTTTAAAAGGCAAAGGTTCTACGGCTTCAGCAGGGATAAGCGTGATGTCTATTTTAACAGCAATTTTTTTCATCTCCTGCTCCATGCTCCCTAGTATACTGGGAGGGCATCACTAAAATCTGTTAGTGGTAATGTAAGGCATCTTTCATCCTAACCAGAGCACAGGCTAACGTGGCCTGATTCTATAAAGCCTGTGCCTAATGACATAAATGCTTCTTATTTACCTTGCAGTGGAGCTGATCCATGTCAAAGCCAAGCAACGGCAACCCTGAGGAACCAGCCCTTTGACTGGGAAGGTGCTGGGACAGTGACCTTCTCCTGGTCCTGAGCACCGCACAGAAAATCTCCATCTGGCGACACTGCAGGACCCATCTCCATCGAATCAGGAGACAAAAGGACAAGTGACAAAGGTGGGAAAGGAACGGCCATCTCGGGTACAATGTATTTGCCGTTTTTGTTTATTTCACCCCACTTCTTCCTTCACTAACAGGAGAGATGTGTTTTGAAAGCTGAAATTTGGTGTACAAATAAATAAGTCCGCTTCTGTCTCTGTCAAATGCATCCCTTACCTAATTACTACTGTAATTACAGTAACTGCAACCAGCAATCCCAAGAGCAAGGCTGAATCAGGCCCTACACCCAGCCGTTTCTAACGTTTGGAGGCTGCTACCCACATGCTTTGCTACACGTCTAGAACAGCTGCAGGAGAGCAGCGGGAGTGATAGATGTTCTCGCTAATGAAAAGAACTGTTTGAATCTATTAGGGACCTGAGCCCATTGGAAAACTAAACTTAGAAACCGTACCATAAGCCAACAACCAGCGTTGCTCCTCCTGGAGAGCTGCTCCTGGGGGCTGCTGCGACTCACCCCCACCTAGAAGCACAGCTGACGTTACTCTCTTTCATAGCTCTTCATGCTGACAGTGTCCCTGAAGTTAAACTAGTTCACTTATTTGATCTAAAACTTGATTCTGCTACTTCAAGCAGTTTCACCCAGGACAAGAAGGTGCCTTTCCTGATTCTGGGGGTAGCTGTCTCTTACGAGTGGTAACAAAGGTGGCTGCTTTTACAGCTGCCTTGGATTCACCAGCTTGCACCAGATACTGACCCACTGCAAGAACCTGGGAGCATAAAACGATATATCAAAACTTTGCCCCCCCCCCCCCCCCCCCCCCCCAACACCCAACAAAACGCTCACCCCCCCCCCCCCCAATCAATGACACTATCATAACCAACAATGAAACTTTTGCTGGGTGGGTATCACCCTGCAGACTGTTTGAAAGTTAAGGCACACTGAGTGACTCACAAGGGACGTAGTCCTGTTCTACTGTCTACAGCAATGCTCCTCAAAAACGGCAACTCTGCCCCAAACACCACCAGTCTGGATCAACCTGCTCGCCTCTGAAGAACTACCATCAGCCACTCAAAAACAAGAGCCCAGCTTCTACTAGTTAATAAAACAGCAGAGAAAAGGGTGTTTCTTAGACTGTGGTTTAGAGAAGCGTAGCAGGGTGGCTCCTTGCAAAAGCTGCTGTGCTTCATGGAGACCCCCAGTCCTATATCCTCCCAGGGAACACGCGTTGGCTGCTTTGGGTCTGCATCAGAAAATCTTACTGAAAAGCCTCCAGTCCATCTTAACAGCCTCAGCTTTTGACTCAGCCTTGAGGCCCAAGACCTTTGAGAGAATCTTGAAGCTAACTTTCGAAGGCTGCAGTAATTTAAGCTCCTAAATGCTGAAGCCACGTTGACAAACTCCTGAAAGTGTCTTGGGGAGGACGGGAAGGGGGGGAAGTCAGACTAAAGCATTTCCTCAAGCTGCTCTTCTATCTTATGCCAAAGTATGCATGTCTGCTTTCCCTGACCTATTTATGTATTTCTACTCAAACCAGCCCCATTTTAAGAGCCCTGACTTGGCATGGGCAGAATGAGGAGTGTGTTCTCTCCCCAGGTGTGCAACTGGGTTTGCTTTGCACTGAAGGAGAGATGGAGACAAAAAAGCAGGGGGAAAAGGCAAGGAGATGTAATTTTTTTCCAAGTGGCATAAAACCAGATGCTGCCAACCTTCCTCTAATTAAGCAATACTTTACTTTCAGGAATAGGTAGCTGAACTACGCTGAGCAACATGGGACTATCATATTACAAGAGGTGACAGAATTCAGTTGCTCTGAGCACACAGAGTATTTCCTTAATGCTGCAAATAGTAGAAGCCATACAACCACAAGGGATATGAGAAGCCTTATGCCTGTGAGACCAGAAAGAGGAAGGTGGTTGAGGAGGGGTAAAAGAAAGCCCCAGAACTTATTAGCTACTGCCTAGTTAACTCTAAGCCTTCTCAAAGCCTCTACAGCCACTGAAACTAACCCTTATCAGCTTTCCAACTACAGATCATTCACTCCCTATGAATGCTAGCAGCGTAACAAATACCGGGGGAGCACCTGCACAGCAAACACACTGTATGAACACCCATCCACTGAAGCACAACTCCTGTCCTGGGACACGCTGTGCAAAGGAGGATGCTGGCGAAGGGGCTCCCGGTTGTGTCCCCAGCAGGACTGGGACAGCAGCACCTCCAGGACACTGCACTTCTGCTCAGGCAGGGGACCTCCCAGCCCCAAAAGTCACATGGGACACGGCTCTCGTCATTCCGGCACTAGCAGTGGATTCAATCCTCAAATGGAGGAAGATGTCAATAACAGCAACC